AAAGAGTCTACACTGACAGTCTAAACTGCAGCCCCCAGACTCTACACTGACAACTCATACTGGCACTCCTTCCAAGCACAGGAGTAAAAGGGACATGGGGAACACTTTAATGCTACTGCCACTGGTAACACGACAGAATAAAGCCTTTATATGTGGGCATCACATGTATACATTTCATAAGGAATACGTGCAGAAATCCTGCATCTTCAGACCCAAGTAGCCTCAACATTCTTGTTTACGTTTCTTACTCAGAACAAAATGCATTCTCCAAGCTACTACAGCATATGGAAACCACTACAAAAATCCTCTTTTTTTTTTCTGAGATAAGAGGGTTGATAGAAAATAAACCACAAAATAATGTAGCTTTGAAAGGAGAAGCCCAGGAAGAGGGAAGGAGGACATATTTTATCTGTATCTGCTGGCCTGGAAAATAAATACTGCTGTTGTGCAACTCTGCAGCTGCTCACTCTCAATTTGTTGTTTTCTTTCTGGTTTTTATGATTTAATCTCATATCCTTGCCGTTAATCTGAAAAGGGTTCAGGCAGCTTTATTCATTAGTCTTGCTTCAAATCATGTTCTTACAGATCATGATCTTTACAGATACCAAGAACCAATTCTCTTTTTGTGACATGGCTTACCCTCTGATAGATGCAGCAAGAATAAATTGACTTTCTTTTTTCATTGAATCTCATGAAATATATCCTTGAGGAAGTTTTTCTTACACTAATATAATGCATGACAAATATATATTTGTAAAATTGAAGTTATCATTTTCAAATTTTGAAAAATATTTTGGATTCATACAATATGATTAGGGAAAATAATAATAATTTTAAAAAAAAAATTCACATCTACCCGAACTACATAACATCATTTCAGTTATATATTAATAGTTATGTCATCATAACCTTACTTTGGGAAGATGCATGAGTCGTTTCCTACTTTAAGAGAGCTAAGTATATAGAAAAAAGGTTTGTGAAGCAACACCTCTGGAAGAATGTCAAAAAATATTTACAATTTAAAACACTGAATTCATATGTGGAAAACTACTAAAATGACTTTACAGTGGATCCTACCAAAAGCAACAGAAATAATTATATAACGAGTCAAGTATGGCAACACTACCTAAAGACCTAATAATTCAGGCAAGCAGAATGACATGTAAAAAAGCTTTGTATCAGTATTAAGGTTCCCTGATTCCCAGATTTTATTATTAGGATATTGTACATATTTTAATAAGACCTTACAAACATTTGCTTTGGCTTGGGCTTTGGAATGAAGAAACCAACCATTTCACAAGCTGATTGTGGCTTCAAAATGACTGAAAAAAAATATTGTATCTGTTCAAATAATTTTGCTGCTAGAGAGAAAACACAACGTATTGAATGATGAGTAGTGTAGGTCTTGGGAACAATAGACTACATTACATTTTTTTATGAAAATAAAATAAGACCCTTTCGCAAAAGCCAGAATTAAAATGAAATTGAATACTTCAAATCAAAGAACTGCAGCCATAAATCTAGTATGTGTGCAAAGCAGACCAAAGAATGGACCTTATGAGTCTATGGATTACTTAGAATAATATTTTGCATTTCTTTGACTCACATCATTTGGTATTACCCTATATTAGCATCCATATTCTGCACAGAAGGGTAAGTCTGTGAAAACCACTGTGTATAGTTACAATTCAACTGTCCTTAACATAAAACCTCCATTTGATATATATTATGTAGCTTCCCCTCAATGTCAAATATACCATGGGCAGTTATTGAATCGTAAGGTGTGCCTGCTGCCTCTGCCTTTATCCACGGGTTCACTACGGACAAAGCAGTAAAACTGCTGTAGCACAGACTGTAAATATTATAGTAAAGACTTTAAACTGAAAGATGGTAGACTTAGGTTAGATATAAGGCAGAAAATCTTTACTATGAGGGTGGTGAGGCACAACAAGAGGTTGCCAATAGAAGTTGTGGATGCCCCATCCTTGGAAGTGTTCAAGGCCAGGCTGGATGTGGTTTTGGGCAACCTGATCTAGTGAAAGGTGCCCCTGCCCATGGTGGGTAGGGTGGATTTACATCATCTTTAATGTCCCTTTTAATCCAAGACATTCTATTCTATAAATGCTGATTGTAAGTACAACTTGCTCCTGAACATTTAATTACATTTTACTTTCTCTGTAATGGATACAATAAAAGAAAAACGTCCTTGAAGAATGTGCAATCCAAAATCATCCCAGACTTCTTTAAGGCAACAAATTTCAGATCAGTCAAAGAAAATCCATAATCAATTACCTATCTGTCTGTCTAAACAGTTTGAGATCTATTAATTGCAAATGGGACTGTTGCATACATCAAGGGAACAGAATACTAGTCTAATGGTTGAAACAATAATAAGCAGCACATATATGGATTTATAAATTTTAATATTGAAATTATATCAAATCATGCTATTTATATTCTATGCATTACTTTGGTATAAAGAGAATAATATATTATCTTCTGCTCTTACAAGCAGGTGCCAAGATTTAAGTCCTAGCCCCATGCAGCTACTTGCTCACTCCCTCCCAGTGGGATGGAGGAGAGAATTGGAAGGATAGAACCTGGAAAACTCATAGGGTGAGATAAAGACAGTTTAACAGGTAACACAAAAGCCACACACACAGGTAAAGAAAAAGGAATTAATTTACTGCTTCCCATGGGCAGGCAGGTGTTCAGCCATCCCCAGGACAACAGGGACCCATCACATGCAAAGATTACTTGGGAAGGCAAACATCATCACTACAAACATCCCCCCTTCCTTCTTATTCCCTCCATTTTATGTACTGAGTATGATGTTCATGGAAAATTCCTTTGGTCAGTCTGGATCTCCTGTCCCAGCTGTGTCTCCTCCCAGCCTCACATGCACCCCAATTTCCAGCTGCCAGCGTGGCAGCACAAAAAGCAGAAAAGGCCTTGGCTCCGTGTAAGCCCTGCTCATCAGTAACAAAAACATGTCTATATCATCAACTCCGTGTTCAACACAGATCCAAAACACAGCCCCATACCAGCCACTGCAAAGAAAATTAACTCTACCACAGCCAAAATCAGCAAAAACAGTAGGTTTTTCCAGTATTATTAATGAGAACAGCAGAGATCCAAACCTAAGGCCCATCCCTATCCTTGAATTCTGGGATAGTTTCTCTCAGAGACATTGATATTCTCTTCTAAAAGCCCATTTCACCAGTTAGATGTTCACTGGGCATCATGGAGGAATCTTTTTCATTACCTCCAGGAAAAAAAAAAAAAAAAAAAAAAAGAGTTTATGTGAGGAACATTAGGGAAAAAATTATTCAGAAGACCCTCTATCCTTCTGTAGCATATAATATATATCAGATTCTAAGCACACTTGCATATGTTAACTAGGCAACATCAGTATTATTATCCAAATAAAACAGAAAGAGGATAATGACTGAAAAAACAATCTGGACTTAAACAATATCTTGAGTAGAAGTGATCACAATCAGCAGCTCTCATTTCAGGCATAGAGTCTACATTCTTCCTATTGGCAAATATTACTTTATACTGTCCCTGTTTATCATACAACTCTACTTAGGGTAAACGCATCTTGCATATATGAATTTTTTACTTTTATATTCTTGTCTCACTCTGTAATTCTGCATGCATAATATAGCAACACTTTTGGAATTTAATTGTTGCGGAGAACAAGAGCAAGAGTTTTTTATCACCACATGATTAACACAAGAGAATCTGTCTCTCTCTCCTCCTTAGCATCAAGTTAGGGTGCCAGCTGTACTTCTCAGAGACTACACATATAACTGAGGAGCACTCAGAGCCACTATGTACTGAACCCATCAGCTGAAATCAGAGCAAAGGGCAGCAAGCAGAAAAAGTTAAACCAAAAAGGTGAGATTAATTACATTCAATTTGTTCCCATATAAGACCAAAAACAGGAAATAAAATATGGTGGAATACAAGAGGTGAGGAAAAAGGAAAACTATTTTAATTATACTAGCTGTAAAAGTTATTATATCTGCCTAACTTATTTCAAACTCACAGAATAAATACTGTAATGAGGTCATAGCTGGGCAGTAGAGGAAGGCTGCCAGATTGCACTGCTCTGGATGCCAAATTCCAAGGCAGCTGGAGGTCTCTCTCTCCTGCGCACATGAGGGTATCATTCCTACGGAAACACGTGAGCAAATTCGCTCTTTCTTTCGCTTCTCACTGTATTTAAAGAGCTGTTCCGGTCTTGTTTAGGAAGAAACTAAATTTATTCAATGAAACCACTTTTATGTTACACTAAAATGTAGCTGCAGAGGTTGAGAGCCTTCTGGTGCCTTTCAGTACAATCACCTCCAGAAAAAGGGAGGGAAGTTCCACCTCCAGCCTCGGGTTAAAGTAGATCTTACTACATTAGCGCCAGTAGAGTCACAGTTTCAACCAATGCCAAGTAACATTGACATAAACAAGTGAAGAAAAAACTTTCATACTAATGACAGTAACTAAAAGCAAAAGACCGAAAAACCATGTAGAGGCTCAGGTGACTACACAAAGATTTCATCATCCTCAATACTGTTTAGTGCAAGTACAACCAGATATTTTATTTCAGTAGTCTGACCAGACACCGTCTTCCATTAACCTGCCTTTTTGAGTTCTATTTTGGATTATGACAACCTTTTTGCCATAGAGTTAGTGACCACAAAAGAAATATGGTAACATAGCACAATGACCACAATTTGACAAAGCCGCAAGCACCTGGACAAGCTCTGTCACGCTGCAACTGCCATGTTCCACATTTTTTTTAAAGAAGGAATGAATATCACATATTGGCTATGACCATCTGAAACCAACAAAAGACTCCTCAGCTGATGCTTCAAAATGCCCAGTATGTATTTTAGAGGCTACAGAATAAAAATAAAACAAAAGTTTAAAAGATAAAATAAAATCTGTAGCATAAATTCAGGAGATCTTGTAAGGATAAGCATTAAATACTTTCTTACCTGTCTGATGTTGTGTCACTTGTTACTTGATGCTTTACTCCTGAACCGTTCTTAATTGAGTCTTGTCTTGTGAGCCCTTGAGATCTGGTTTTGTCCAAAGCTTGTGTGGATATGTCACCTGGTGGTCCTTGGTACTGAGGATGCTCCTGCAGCTTTGCTTTTTTCTCTTGAGGTGCTTCCTCATTCCTCAGAGCTCTAATTCCTTCTTGGTCAGGCTGCTGTGGTGCATGTGATCCACTGTTATAGAACCAGGCTCCTGACTTTGTGAGGATTTCTTGTTGTTTTCGGCACAAGTTACATACCCACATTACCTGTTCAGACATATTTAAATGTAAAATCTGTTAGCTTGTAAACACTGTATATAACATCTTCATCAAGCACACATCAACTGATTGTTGCCATTTCCAAAAGTAGAAAGAACACACTTTCAATTCTTTCTATTAAAATTACGATAGCTTAGCTACAACATAATAAAATATGGTTGTACAATCTTGGAGGAAATTGTTTTAGAAAAATCACAAGCAAAACTAATTTTAGTCTTTTCTTGTTTCATTATTTGAAACACAAGGAAAAACCACAGATAGAAGCAATATAAATTAAAGGTTCTACATATTGACATTCCAGTGGCAATAAACATAAGTTCTAAAATATTAAGACTATAGTTTGAGGATGATAGAAAAAATTAATTAAAAATCATTAAGTTTTTAATCCATTTTCTCACTAAGTCAGAGTCAGGAACTTCGGAATAGATTGTTGCTATTGCAAACAAGTAATTTTATAATTCTCAAAAATGCTCACTGATTTACTTCCACTGTGGTCTGCATCTTATGTTTATATGAAGAAGCTGACTTCAAGAAGTGACTTAATTTTCAGAGTAATTTTAAATTAAAGCCATTTTGTAAATAAAGTAGCACTAGGTATAAGATGATGCATCTCCCCATTCATAGCCAAGATTTACCTTTCATAGTATGCTTGCTAAATTATTAAAATCATTACACCTTCACAGTTGTGAGATCCTGCATAGAGTAATGAGGTTTTTTAATAATCTAGAATCTACTTGCTTGCAAAGCTTTTGTATACGATCACCTTAGTCACACGCCAGTGCAGGATATTGGCAGCACCAATTATCTGTAAGTTAATTTCACATTCAGTTATTATGTTATATGAGAATAAATCAGGATGTAGTGAATCAAATACAACACACCAGTCATGAACACAATGGTACATTCAAACTGGTTACTGTGTTATCTTAGAATTTTGATTGTAGATAGCATTAATTCACTGCAAGTTTAATCCTTCCCTCCTTAATCTTCATTTTTCTTTAGCCTTAGCTCAGCTTTCTTTTTCTTTTATTTTTGTTTTTATTCTTCTTTGTCTTTTTCTGCTCCTTATATCTTTGTCTAAGTTCACAGAAAAATTGTACCATTTTTACTACATGTTCTTTGAATGTCTACACTCGACCTTCAATCTAGTTATAATGTCTCCAGTTCTAATCCTACACTAAGTTGCCTCTTTTTCAAGGGTGCACAGTCCACGAAATTCAAAGTTTTACATTAATGCTCTTCATTATTCTTTTAAATGTAGCTGGTTCCATGGTTGAATCACATGGAAGATGTAGTTTCTACCACCTTAATACATCTACCTCAGTCCACCAGAAAAGGTTTCAGAAGCCTCAATCTGTGTCTTACTTTTATTCTCCAGGTTGTTTTCTAGTAGAAAATTTCAGCCATGCTCTCTAGTCAAACCTCACAAAAAATTTCTCGATGAGAGCTTCGTATAGAGGGTTACTTGGATGCAAGAGTCATACTCAAGGTAAACTCACTGACTGCTTCACTCACTGTCAGGCTGGGGCAGGAAAAGGAGGCATCACTCACCCATTTAATGGTGGTGATATGCCCCATCCTGGTACACTGCCCTCTTATCTTTTCATAGGGTTGATTACCATCCATGAGAACTCTTGCCTGCTTACATCAGTAAGACAGAACAAATCATCTTGCCTGCTTACATCAGTAAGACAGAACAAATCATCAAAGCACTGAGAGCAAAAAAGAGAGAGACTCCCTAAGCAGCAGCTTGCTTTCTGAGGTAGGTTAGATATCCTTAGATGACATTCAAAGGTCAACACTGTGTATACTTCAGGCCTGGCCACCATTAAAATACAAATTCAAGAAAAGGCCTGTTTTACCATTAGTAATTAAGTTAGAAAGTACATGAAAACACCAAAGTGAAATTTCAGCCCCCAAGAAAGAAATATTTTTGCCCTCTTTTATTAATAGCAATTAAAAGGCTTCAGTATTTCTGCTTGGTTGGTACACAGCTGAAAGAAGTTCTACACTTTCCACGTGTGTGTCAGTGCAATGAAAGGACCGGACCTAAAACAATTATTGACGTATACAAATATGTAACAGCTTGAATGACAATGAGATAAAACCCCCAAAAGTTTTCATGTGCTATTTCTATTAGTAGATGTCATAATATCACAAAACTAGATATTATAAGCAAAACACCTGGGCAACCACGTCCCTGGCTGACAGCCATATTTTGTCCCCAGACAGTGCACTCCAGGATGATCAGTATTATTCTCTTACACCCAACAGAATAAGAGGTCCCTGTGAACAAATATGAGTTCATATCTCCTCATCTAAAGTAGAATCAGGAAGACTACTCCTGACATAACCTGACTCCTGAAAAATTTACTTAAGAGTATTTCAGATTGAAAAAAATTCTAACACATTGCATGAAAAGTGCATATATTGATGAATTTTGCAGGTTTTTTCTGCTTTTCTAAGAGTATCTAATGATAATTACAGCTAACACTTCTGATAAAGCCTTCTTGTCAATGTACTTTCAACATGCAGGATTTCACAGTCATAATTTTAGCTTCAAATAATCACACACAGTGAGAAGAATGGTACCTGTCACCCAGACACAATTTTTGTGCTTTCAGTGAGCACAAAAATTACAAGCCCTCAAATAGTACTGAGCTAAACTGCTTCTCCATCTTATTGCTGGAACCATTCTTGCAATTTAAAAAATACTGGTGATTTTCAGTGCTGAATGCTCAATTAAACAAGGCTCACTTGTAAGGGAGTATCATAAGAGCACAGATGGGAAGGCGGCATACTCCTGAACAGGATCTCTCCTGCTCCCAGGTGCCTGTGACAGAGCACTCAGCAGGTCACACATGCAGAGCAGGTCTGTCCCTGCCAAGTCCCCGCCAGGACAGAGCATTTCATGGGACTGTGAGGGCAGCACAGCAGAGAAGTGGAGAGGAGACTACACAAGCGGACCACATGCTCAATACACACATTTTTACAAACCTGTGAAGAACACAGAATTTTCCCTTCTAAAACACTAGTTAAAAGGGCTAATCCTTTACATCAGAAATCTGCACTCCAGAGCAGGCACAGTACCCACTATACCTGTTTGCAACTCTCTTGACCACCACCCTAATGAGTTCAGCTGTCGTGAACACATTTTGTACCCAAACCTCGCCGTTGCAATTTGTGGGTGTCAGTTCTTCTCCACATGGGGACACTGCCAATTTCAAAAGGAAAATATGGACAAAAATCTGCTCTCCAACGTTAACTACTAGTTCAAAACTATAATCTCAAGTGCTAGTGGCACTGGAACGGGATGTGCATTTCCGTAGGAAAGGCTGAAACACCACCTAGTGCCTATTACAGGCATTGCTGAAGTTCTGTTCAACTTCTCAAGAGTGAAAATAGCTGCACTAAATACATCTAGCCTGATATTTTCCCATCAACGCTTATAACCATTTTATTCAAAACTAAATGTGTTTTCTTTTATACAACACTCCAAAGAAGTATTCAGAATTCAGATTAGACAAAACCTTCCTTCTGCTTTCCATTCACAAAGGTTAGTTCCATGCAGGGAACAAACAAGTTCTATCCCATTTTTGATTTCTTCACAGTTTTTACAAGATTACTCATCATATGCTCCCACTTCTGCTAATAGTTTTTATCACATAATATTAACACTTTTTTTTACATAGGGCCATAAAACAAATTCTGCCAAACCTACAATAATCAGCCATTTCACATCTACGAATCAGAAATAATTAATGAACAAAATGAACAAAAAAACTCTTCTTTGCATTGTCCTAAATAAGACATTACAATTTTTTGTTATTAGATAAAATTTTTCAAACCCATTTCATACACCACTTTAAATTCAATAAAATGGAAAATATATTCACCAAGAAATTACATCTGCAGATATGTCAAGAAAAAAAATTAATAAAAAGGATATAGTACAACAATCATTTTGGATAATGTGAAAATGCAGCTACCTTAAAAAATACCATTCACTGTTCCCTGAAGTACAGTGATAGATGGCCTATCACTAACTCTTATTCTTAAGAGTTTAACTCTTTATTCTTAAGAATAAAACGGAAATACTACTTTATTTAAGATTAGATTAAAAGGCACAGTATATTTGAAATATTTGATTACACATCAGTTTGAGCTTGTTAGCTTAGACACTACAACCTAAGGAATAATTACACCAAACCCTCATCAGCCTTCAGAACACTACTCAGGTGTGCAGAGATGAAGAATTCCATAGTATTGTGGTTTTATCAAATCTATTAAAGTTCACCTGCTTGCCAACAACATCTGATATATTAGCATTATATTAATTGTTGTGCTTGCTGGTAGTATTCTTAAGCAAATTTCACATGATTTAAATACATATGTCTTTTTGTGGGGTTTTTGGTTCTCAGATTTTATGCAGGATACACGTCCTTAAACATTATACAAGGTAACAAGAATACAACATTGAAACGAAGGAGGAGACAAAGGGAGTAGAAAAACCCTTTGCTTGGGTCCAGCATCAGGGCAAGTAATCCAGATTACTAACACACTGCTCCTAGTCCTGTTTTGGGGTTGTGTTTGTGGTTTTTTTTTCAATCTTTTCCAGGTGTAAAACAACTTTATTACATCATGGAGCAATGTTTGATGTCACACTTCATACCAATGAAATTTCTTCAAGGATGGAGTACATCTCTCCATTAGTCACTATGTTGATGTGGAATAGACACTGCTGAACCAGCGCTGGCACCCAGGAACATGAGTCAGCTTCCTCTGTGCAGTCACAGAAATTACAATTATATAGCAAATCAATGCATCTTTAGTTAATATAGCCCTAGTATCAGTGGGGGCCAATGGTATATATTCCTTACCTCTAGTCCCAATTTCTGCTGATCTTTCCCCATTTTGCCTATTTGAAATATAACAGTGTTTTCAAAGAACTATAAATTTAATAAGTAGGTGCCCTGGTTCTGGGACTG